TTCTTCTTGTTTACTGAGGGCTTGAGTTGAAATTACTGATCTAGTAGCTACTGTTGGTTGTCCGATTTGTGTTGGGTGATATATTCTATAATGTTGTGAGGTAAAACTAGTATGGAATTTACCACAGAGATATGTGCAAATTGAAGGTTGTGGAAGTAGTGTTGTTGTTTTTTAATATCACAATAATCAGGTTTAGCATTAACTGGAAGAACGCGTGAAGCTTGCGGTTTGTTTTCTAAGATTCCTATACTATGGCGGTCTCTGTATTTAGAGTAAAAATAATCTATATTATAGGAGTCAAGCTTCTGAGAATCAGCTAAGGTTGGCATTTTGAATTTAGAAGAGGTGTGGCAAATAAAGGGGATGTGACAAATAGAAGGGTATGACAAATAAGGGTGTGACAAATAAGGGGGTGATAAATAATAGGGTGTGACAAATAAAGTGTCACACAGTATAACGATCAGCAGATCAACAGAATCGTTGAGAGCTAAAATTTGTGTAAAATTAATTAAAACCAAAATAGTAAAAAGGCTTTTGTATAAAAATAGATGAAACAAGATTGGAATTGTATAAATTGATTAATAATATGGATTAGTAATTGGGATCTGCAAATTTGGGCGCCCTAGGGGGAGCAGAACCTCCCCAAAAAAAGAAAAAATTTTTGTAAAAATTAGACAAAGTTTTAAGAATAGAGTTTTGTAGTAATTTAGTAATAAAATCTAAAATATTTGTCTGTTTTTAATGTTTTATATATCAAATTGAAGCTCTAGTTGAGCTTAATCTTTTTCTATTAATGAACAAAAAGAGGTTTACTTAGTAAAATTTTAAGTAAACAGCAAAAGTATAAATTTTAAATATTTAGTTATAACTCAGTAACAAAGAGCTTTAAAGCTATAAAACTAGGCTACTTATAAGTAAAATTAAGTGTAGAACAACTTTACTTAGGCAGCCAAAAGAGGTTTACTTAATAAAATTTTGAAAAAATAGCAATTATTTTTAAGAGAAGTTTGGTACAAGTGATCATTGGGAAGAGTTAGTGATTTGCGTCCTATTTTTATAGATAAGCAATATTATAGGATGTTTGTTAATTAATTATTATAGTGATTAATTATTTTATTCATTAATTTTTTAGCTTTGATGATAACGAAGGTATTCTGGAGCTTTTTGTTAGCAAAACATTCCAAAGCTGAGATCAATTGGCAAGTTTTATGAAGAAATATGCTGCAGCTAAGGGCCATGGAATTCGAATTGATGGTGGTGGAAAAAAAGATACAATGCAAATGATAATAAAAAGATATATTTATATCATCATTCTGAAAAGCCTCCAAAGCAATTGAATGGAACATCTTATTAGGTAGGATGCTCATGAAAAGTAAATATTTGGTTTAAAAAGAATAAAAATTGCCTTGAAGTTACAACTTTAAATGATAAACATGTTAGTCACGAACTTTATCTATTAGCAAGTCGTTTTAATCCAATGTTAAGGAAGCTATCAAAAGAGATTGTTGAAAAAATTTGGTTCTTGACAGTTGTAGCAAAAGCAGATGCAACAATGCAATATCGAATAATCCAGAAGAAGTACAAAACCAGAATACATAGACCAGACTTCTACAATGCTATTAGTAAATTTCGTCGTAATTCAGAACTGAGGAAAAATGATACAGGTGTATTGTTAAAAAAACTGTATGAGAAAAAAATTAAAGATTCCTATTGGGTGTTTTCAGTGGAAATTGATCCTATTACTTCTTCTCTGACCCATCTTTTTTAAATGAGTCCTGAGTGGAAAATATTGTGATTATATTACCACGATATAATAATGCATGATAACACATACAAAACTAATCGCTATAATCAGCCTTTATCAATTTTTGATACTCCGAACAACAATTTAAAAACACGAATTGTGGTTCAAGCAATCGTTGATAATGAAACACAATCTTCATATGAGTGGGTTTCAAATGTATTAAGGATACAACTAGTTTAGTACCAAAGGTTTTTGTAACAGACAGTGACCTGGCAGTTAATAGTGCAGTTATTGCTCAATTTTCTGATACCTTTCACATGTACTGTATTTGGCACATAAGCTAAAACTTACCAAAAAATCTAAAAGAAACATTAGGTTTAAATTTTACTAATTTTATGAAGGATTTTTATATAATGAGAAATAGTATAACAGAAGAAAAGTTTTTTGAAAGGTAAATTATGTTATAAAGATTTTGTATTAATTTTTAAAGAAAAATTATGAAATTTGTATTAAAAATAGTTTGTGTTTTTATTTATTTAAAGATGAAAAAAGTTGTTACAAGAATATCTACAAGCAAAGGATTATTTGATAAGATCATTAGGGTCTAATACTCAATCATAAGTATGTGCGTTTACTAATAAGCATTTTACTGCTGGTATACAATCGACCTCTCATAACAAGAGTGAAAATTTAACATTAAACACCTTTTTGGGCTTCGAACCTTTCATTATACGAATTATTTGATGCTTTAGAAGAAAGGTTTCAGGAAGAGAATAACTACTGCAAATTTGTAAACTGGAAGCAAGTTATATCACAAATAGAACCATAAAATGTTGTAAAAACTATTTTTAATCCCATTTCAAGACAGCTTAACAAATTTATGATGCTTAACATAAGTAAGAAGCAGGAGGAGCAAATGAGTTTAAGTCTTCATTATCATGCCATGAAAATTAATTTTGAAGTTGCATTGTCTAAAGAGAAAGTAAGATTTTTATAAGTTATACTATTATTTTCACTTAATTTAATTCTGTATCTTGTTAAAATAAAAATTGTCACAGCTAATGCTGAAATTTGAGATTTGATTTGAAAATATAAGCCATGCTAAAATTTGCATATACTCTTTAATTATCAATTCTAACTCTAACCTAAATCTAAAAAAAAAAGCGAACAAAAATACTCTAAGAAAATTTTAAATTTTCATATTAAAATAGGTCTGAATTTTAGTATTAGTTATAACAAGAATTAAATTGATATGATTGTAATTTCATTTATTTAAAAATTTTTTAGAAGGTTGATGAATCAGATCGGTGCATTGATAATTTATTTGACTGTCCACAAATATAACTCAGTTTATTTATTACTGATTTTTCAACTATTCTTGAAGTATGGGAAGTTTTATATTTAGCAAATCCCAGCACTTCACATTTTTTATATCTTTTAAATAATGGCACTTTTATTTGTATATATATGATAAGCAAATCTCACGGCTATCCATGTTATTATTTTTATTGTGTGATGACCTTAACCCCAACTGCAAGATTTTATATTAGGTTGGTGAATAGACGCTGATATAAGGATGTATTACAAGGAGCTGATATATCAAATAATAAATTTGTGATTGTTTCTTTAGATGCATCAGCATCAACGTCAAAAATGCATTCCTTGCCAATGTGATTTTTATATTTATCTGAGCTTGGTGTTGATCAAATTGAAGAGTTTACGAGTAAGAGTTTTTCGGAACAATTACCTGATGAAATATCTAAAGCAAATTTGGTGAACTTTGGAGATTGGAAAGGAAAATAATAGTCAATGTGAATAAGGATAATAATAAGGATATTTATAATGAGCTTCTTAGTTTTTTTCATCAATCCAAACAAGAATAATTAATAATAATATGAGTGGTGATCGTAACTATGGTGATAGTAAGATTATTCAAAATCTCATTGAACGAAGACCAAAAGGTCATTCTAAAAAATTAGGTTCAAAAAGAATTAAGAGCATTATAGAAGATTTTAATACTAAAACTCAATATAAGTATAAGGTATGCAAACAAAAAGGTCATAATAGTAAAACCTGTAAAGGTAAAAAGCTATTGGATATTGATAAAAGTGATGAAACCGAAGGGTAAGTTTATTAAATTTATACATCAATGTTATTCAATATATGCTTTTAATCATATTACTAATATTGGTGACTTGTATAGTCAATGTAAGTTAAACAACAAATCAAAAGTGACTTGTGGTTAATATCTATACTTATCACTAACATTGTTTGTTGATGTAGGTTCTGATGATAGCGATGGTGAAGAATTATCAACTACAGTTACAAGTTACGAACATGTTCGAGAAGAATCAGACACAGTAAAACCAGGTATTAGTTTATTGTATTTTAGTTAAATAATAAATATAATAAACTACTCTTTCTAATGCACATATTGACAGGATCAAATGATATTGTTGTGTTAGTTTTGCTACTTATACAACAAATTGACTCCAAAAATTGTAGAAATATGTAAAGACAATGTGGTGTTTGCAATCAACAAGGCCATAATGCCTGAACATGCCCAAATAAAGAGCGATTAGATTAAGATTATATAGCTAGAATATATAATAATAACAATTATTAAAATGAGTTGAAGTTGAAAAGAATGAATATAAAACTTTTATTTTTTATTAAAGATCTGTTGATAGGAAAATACTAATAGCTTTGACATACCTTTTGATATTTTGTCTAATTTTTTTCAATTATGTATCTGGATTCAATATAATTTATAGTCTCATCTGATTTGGGCCTGTATCCAAATATAGGATCTGAATTAAATTCAATATCTAAACATTGAACCTGATTTAAGTTCATATAGAACATAGTAGTGCTACATTTACAAGTTAAGAGTAAATCATAGGTAAAGTTTTAATATTAGTATCAAGGATTTCTTGTATTCTTACTAGTTTTATTCCTTTTGCCAACCTATTCTAATTAAAATTTTGTAATTTTAATTGGTAGACATCTGAGTCATAACTTTAAGACTTATTATTTATAGTACCAGTCTTCCCTATCAATAAAATCACTGAAGACGTAATGATACTGTTAATTTAAATTCAAAAAAAGTTCTTAAGAATCTATGTGTAATATACACTATTCAAAAAAAAGGCCAAATTTAAAAAATTGAATTGTAATAGTTAGCGTCACCTTTTTGTTATCCTACTATCAAACTGATTTGAAATAATACATTATAAAACATATTTTCGTATTGATTTTGGTAAGCTATTAGTTTTTTGAAACTGCAATGAAGTTTTTATTAATCTATTACATCTTTGGCTTATTTGAAAGCAGCAGTTATAGTCTATAGAGACTTATTTTGTATTAATTTTAGTAAGCCTTTTAGACTATTCGTTAGTTTATTAGAAAGCTGCAATTACTTAATATTATTACTAATTGACATCGATTTATTAGCTTATTTTAAAACTGCATTCCAAGTTGCAAGGAATCAAATCATTAAAATTATTTTTTTGCTTTATTTAAGTGAATATAAATGTTAATTTTAAAATTAAAGTATATAAAGGTTACTGTTAATTAACTCCCTATTCATTTCATTGAAACAAACAGAAGTTAAAGACTATCCCTTAAACTGTATTCCAGGCAAATTTGCCTGGAAAATTTAATTGTATTTAGTATTTTTTAAATAAAATAA